ATGGAGAGCAGACCCCGCCCCTCTACCCTGCTGGCATCTCGCTCCTCCGGGGGCTTCCACGAGGTGCCGGCCCATGGGAGCACCAGGAGCCGGGTCCTTCCAAGTTGCAGCTGCAACTCCTGCTGAGTTGCAGTTCCGAGCTGGCCCCGCTCCGAGGCTGCTGCTGGGTGCTGGATCCATCCAGGGCTGGGCAGGAGGCTCCTCCTGCACCCTCAGAACGGACACTCTGCGCTGGCTCCCGCTTGTGTCCGTCTCCCCGGGGCAGCCGGGGGGAGCAGCTCTGGTCATTCCCAGTCACGGGCTTTTCCATGCTGCGGGCTCTGACTCAGCGGGACACAGGGACACGTGGCCAGCACCTGCCCATGACCAAGCCTGGGATGCATCCCGCGTGGTGCGGAGCTCCCTGCAGCACCCAGTGCCCCCACCCCGCTGGAGGAGCTGAAGCACCAGGATGTTCCCACTTCAGCCCTGGGAACAGCACCGGGGCTTTGGAAGGAAGCAGCTTGCGGCAGCACACGCACACAAATGTTTTGGTGTAAAAACAGCCCAAAGTTCTTCCCATGTCACAAGCAGCTCTGGCTGCGGGGAGGCACGCTGGCCACTGTCACCCATCCATTTTCCCTGGGATTTTTTACCTGCCAGGGATAACAACAGCACGAAGGGAGAGACAAGAAAGAAAAAAAGAGAGGTTTCCTCTCTGACCAGAGTTTCTTTAATAGTAGATTAGTAATAGTAATAGTTTGCTTCCTCTCTGAGGGGGAGACCAGGAGACCAGGCTGGCTGAGGGGACCCCAGCCCGCAGCACAACTGTGCTCCCTGCCAGCACCAGGCTGCTCAGTCCTGTCACTCGCTGCCACTGTCCTGCCCTGTCCCAGGGGCCCAGGGAAGGACAGCTCCGGGGACGCGCAGCTCCATGGGGAGACGTAGCAGCAGAACGGGGCACGCAGGGCTCTGCTCTGACCTTCTCTCCAACAGCTCTGGGTGGCCTGGCCCCACAAGAAGGTCCAGGATGATCTGCTGGTGGCTCTGGCAGATACATAGGGCGCGTGCTGGCTGATATGGAGACAGCGGGCCACAGTCTTTGAGGGGACAGAGCCGTAAGTGGGATCAGAGGAGCTGCTGGACAAACAGCAGCTGGGGCTGGTTATGGACAGTGCAGGTACTCCAAGACTAGAGTTGTACTCTGGCTGGCAAAATCCCTTTTATTTTCGCCCACCTCCTTGAAACACACTGCCCAGCACTGCCGACTCGCTGTCGTGTTCCCCCCCGGAGCTGGCGGCAGCTTTGGCGATGGCAGCAAAAGCACAGAGGGAAGGAGCACAGGAAGCACCACGCTAACACCATCCCAGCCAGCAGAGATGCAGTGAGTTTATAACTGTCTCTGGAAGCTCCTGCTCCCGCTGTCCCTTCGCTCCCAGGGAGGAAGCTGCTCCCCCCTGCCAGTCACAAGCCAACCTGAGCGTCTCTCACAAGCAGCGCTCGAGACAGGCGCACTCCACCCTGCGCACCCAGCCCTGCAGGGAGGCATTGGCCAGTGTGAGCAGAGCGCCAGGCGGCAGCCCCTGGCCAGTGGCTAAAATTGCAACCCCCCCCGGAATGGGAGCCC